CCAGGCTCAGAGGGGTCGATGAGGCTGGAGTCTGGGGCCTTGGTGTAGGCTCTGCCCATCATCTGAGCAACCTGGGTCTCAATCTGCAGCTCCCTGGCCCCCACGTGTTTACGGCTCTGCGTGGGAAGAAAGAAAACGTCAGAAAAGACAACAGAGTTCTCAAAAAAAATCCCTAGTTGATCTCCGTCTTACATGCATGACGTGGTCCAGGCCGGATATGGTGGGCTGGGGGGTCCGTGCGGACGGGAAGCTGTGACTCCTTCCGTCCGTGCCGCATTGTTCCTCGCTCTCCGCCTCCTCCTCCTCCTCGCTGTCCGAGGCTCCCAGGTCGAACAGAAGAGGCTGATGCTGATTGTCCTGCTCCGCTCTCTGCCGCCTCGCTTGAGACTGAGCCTCGTAGTCCAGCAGCAGGTCCGGGTTGTCGTGGCGGTGACAGTGCGCCACCATCACCGTCCGGATGGTGCTGGCGTTGATGTTCTGGATCTTGAAAAGACGCTTCACAACGTTTACGTTCTCTGACTCGATATCCTGGACGACGTAAAAAACATACAAATGAGGATGACATAGGAAACTGGTGATTTTGGGGGTTTTCTTTCTCAAAGTTTTTTTTTCCACCAGTTCAGGCAAACTGACCTGGAAAGCTTTGTTGAGCCAGAGCACCGAGCAGGACGTCATGTTGCCGATCCAGTGCAGGTTCCCCGAGATCAGGTGCGTCTCGTTCAGCCAGCAGCCAAACACGTCGTACGGTTTGTTCCTGACACGCGACAGCAGCGTGTAATTTTCTGGAACAAATCATCAGAAGAGCAACAGTGAGATTCTTAAACCTCAATAGATTCCACTGGAATGTTACGTAACAGACCGAAACGACACAGAAGGTAAACAGAAAAAAAATTATACATGACTTCAATTTTTGATTTAAAAATAACTTTTAAAGGTTTGGTGTGTGGATTTTTTTCCAGCTTTAAATTCTTGTGACAAATTCTCAGTTTGATTCCTTTCATTGCTTTGACTAGGTCATTCTACCCCGAGAATACGCCTCGATCCAAACCGTCCCACTGCAGCTCTTTGCTTCGACAGGCGACGTTCCTTCAATGCCATTCGTTTTCTCATTAACTTCGACCAGTTTCCACATAGTATGACGCTGCCACCGCCATGTTTCACCATAGTGATCGGCAGAGTTAATTCTCTGCCACACATTGTTTTGTGTGATGGCCTGTGACTCTCCTATAATGGCAATATTTGTGGAGTGAATGAATAACAGTCCTGTTGACAGAATGGAAATGAAGGAAAATGTAATTTTCCCTTTTTTTCACCTAACAATTATGCAATACTTTGTATAGGTTCATGTAAAAAAATACATTGAGGTTTGTAGCTACAACATGGCAAAAGCAAGAACAAGCCTCATGAATACGTCAGCAAGTCACCATACTTGATGATCTTGAGGCTAGAGCTAAGCCACATTATATTAATGCACTATGTGTAAATACTTCAGCGTGGTTAGAAAACTCCTACAATGAATTCATTTTAAACCCAAAATAAATCTCCGCTTAGCAGCAACAGGAAGCCGTGCGGGAGGTTTTCCATGTTCCTACCCAGACTAATGACGGCAATTTCCCCAGAAGACGAGTGATGTGGGCCCAGGTAGACGCCGGACACGAGCAGCAGGGTATCGTCGGGGTTAAACTGGGAGAACTGGGTGTAGCCCCAGTTGAACTGGCGCATGCTGGAGCTGTGCACCAGCGAGATGTTTCCATCTTGCCGTTCCGTGTCCCACAGCTGAAAGAGAGGTTTAGAAGAAAGAGACAATGTTTGGTTTAAAGCACCATAAAAATAATCTGAAAACTGTTCCGCAATAAAAAAAAATAAATGGGGCTTAGTGAGCGTCATTCAGTTTCATTTAAAAGTCGGATAAATTGTTCGCGGGATGTTCTGCTGATTTTGCCACATTTCAGGTCATAGTGAAGGTAAAAGTATCTTAAAATAAACAAGAGATGCAAAAAAAAAAAACATGCAAAGAAATAACTTAAACTGACCAGTAAAATTAGGCCGACTTACGCACAGCCACGGTCAGTTTCAGTCATGATTTTAGTACCTTAACGGTGCAGTCCTTAGAGCAGGAAGAGAAGCGATGGCCCCTGTGAGAGAAAGCCAAGTGAAGGACCTGGTCACTGTGCTCCCTCAGCGTCTGGACTTCCACACACGGGATGCAGTCATACAGACGCCTGAACTCCCTGTACCACGACACGGCCGCTGCACACAAGCACAAAATGGACAACATTTTTTTTTTTTAAAAAAGCATGCATCAACAAAACAACAGCAACCACTCTATCAAATCATACCCGGGTGTCGAGGAACGGAGCGCGGAATCCGGTAGTAACTGTAGAACAGCTCCCTCCACAGGAACTCGTCTCTGGAGACCGCCTGCCACTGTCTGCAGGTCAGGCCGGCCCTCAGCACGGCGTCGTGGGGCAGATGCAGGAAGATCTCCAAAACCAAGCTGTCCGGCAGAACTGGACCCCAATCCATCCTAACATCCTGGAACACACGCAGCGCTGTGAACAATTGCTGTCCTCTTACAGATTTCTTCAGGTTTTTTTTTTTTTGTCACTTAAAGGTTTCAGATCAAACTCATTTTAAAATCACAACCATAAGGTCTGTAGAATCAATAAAGCACCTAAACAGAAAATGACAACAGGAAGCAAACAAATAGAAAGCTTCCCAACTCTGCCTCAACCTAAAGAAACTCATGAAAAGATGAGAAATTGTGTCATTGTTTCCCAGTGTGGAAAGAGTAAAACTGTTTTTAGTCCAATTCCTACATTTGTCATTTCAACATCATCCCAACTCTTTCAGGCATTTCCATGTTTTTTGCAGTAGTGGAGCCGAGGTGCTCAAGTTACGCACTTTCAAACTTAATTTGTTTTTTTTTTCAGTTTGCATTAAACGTTTGTGCTTTATATTAAACCATAAAACACACACACAGTAAACAAGTTCATAAATGTAGCTAAATTTCTTCATTAAAAACCCCGTCTTGGTGCCTTTAGCCATGTATTCTGAGTCAATCAAATAAAAACAGGAAACACCTGGAAAATCTAACAAATGAAAACATTTCTCTATATCACCTTGTGTGTTTATCCACATCTAAAATAGCTGTGAATTAAATGCAAAAGGAATCCTGTGTTTGTGGGTTTACTGTAAAAAATGTGAATTTCTCATCTTATTTCATCTGGATAATCGCTAACATTTTATACAGCTATATATATAGTCAGTATTGTGACAGCTGTTGCATAGCAGGCTCAGTTTTGAGTTTTTTTTTGAAGTTAAAAGCTTTCCATAAATGCAATTAAATGTGATATGACACCTTATCGCTGGTTAATAAATAAATTAACATAAATTGTGTTCGTATGACTATTTTTACAATCCTCTTTAAGTCATAAGGAAATGTTCAGTTTTTCTTTCCTTGTGAAATGCAGATGACCATGAGACTAGAGACATGTTGGCGACAAGTTACTGGTTGTGCTTAAAGCAAAACGATTTACTTCTAAAAAACGAAACGATAAATACTTATTTGACTTCGTGGGTGTTAGCGCTCGTTAATTCAGAAAAATAACAGCTTAATGAGCAGCTAAACTAGCAGCCCAAGCTAGCGCTGAACTAGCTAACTGGTTGCAGAACCAGTTAGCCGTTAGCTAACGTTTGTTTTCAACTTTGGTCGGATAAGATTAACGTTTCAAAACAAAACTTTACTCGCATAAACTGGCTCAACGGGCTCGTCAGCTTTCATTCACATGAATTCACTGGCACAAACTGTCGCCTACCTGCTGGATGAAAGGGGGTTGAAGAGAAACAAAATCCAACCGGTTGCTAATGCAAAAAGGATAGCCACAGGGGGTGAAAAATGACAACAATCTTCTAGCAAGACTCGATTAGCCGAATGCGGAATAATCGAGCACGGCTAAATAAACTCGGTCGACTCGATGTCTCTCTGTCGGGTTTACACTGTTGCAAAAAAAAAAAAAAAATAAATAAAATAAAATAAAAAATAAATAAAGAAAATTAAAATAATAATAATAAAATGCTACCCCTACACAATTCTTCAGCTTTTTTTAACAAATAAAGTACTTCAGACCATCCACCAAAAAAAAAATATATGTTTTATAGGCCAAAATGTAAATAATCACTGAATAAGTAATATTATTAAATGCAACAGACCTGCTGCATTTAGAAGACATTGAATATACAACAATGATCTGTTTTTCAGCTCCAAGATAACAATTAAAGCAAAGTTGTGGAATGTCATAAAGCTTCCTGTAAAGGCCAACTAAGTCAAGTTACCTTTGTTTATTGTAACCATCGTTGGGAAGAGAATACAATATCCCCCACTGTGCGATGATGGAGATATTTCTATGCAACAGCAGCAAAGTGACAGGCAATAACAGCAAACGCTTATGGTTTTATTTTTGATAACTTTATAGTGAACATATGGTTACAGAACGCAGCTCCACATGAAAAGATCAACAGCAACACAGAAAAAAGATTTTAAAAAAACATTGAATTTTCACTTCATTTGATAAGGGAACACAGTTAGTAACTGGGATTGGAGTGTATTTGTGTCACTTTTAATGTGACATAGAAAGAACTATACTAATGTAAAGGGCTTTGTCTTTTGATATTCACATCTTCCATGGGTTATGAAATATTCAGCTTTGTGATCATCTTTTAATGTCAGCATATATAAGCTGCTCTGCACTAAATTATTTTTCTTTCTGTTTATATTCTACATATGATGAGTAGAAAGTTTTGCTTCGAAAGAAGATTGCAGACTGTTTTTGTTTCTTAAAGGTTTCTGCTGACTACATTTTTTTATTTTGTTTCGTTTTATTAAATCATTGATTCATCATCTGTTCTCGCCTTCTCACCAGAGACACATGCAGGTTGTCGTCAGGGAGAACATTGCAGTAACTCTATCTGCCAGCTCTGTTTACGAGGGACGACAAAACCCCCCTGTGACTGAAAACTGCTTTGTCATTGCCTTCTTAATAGCTGCTGAGCAAAAACAAGGAGCTGAACTTCAAGATAAAGCCTGAAGGAAGGATTAAAGAGTGGAACGATGCTGTGACTGTTCATCTCTGGTGAGTTTGTTCCTTTTGTGCCAAATTGTTGTGTGAAAAGAGAAATTCATCATGCAGCGTTTTCCTTTTGACACTCCATATCTCAAGATTTTAAAGGTGCTTCTCGGTGTAGATTCACGGACAAATACTGCGTGGTGCGGTCAGGTTACCGTTTTCAACATTATTTCATGAGTGTGGCGTCTGTCTTCCTTCAGGATTGCGGCATGTTGTCCACTGGATAACCTCCTGTTGCTGCTCCAATGGGAGGAAGGAGCCGGTTTCAAGCTGCCAGTGTCAAGGTGCCCTTCATCCAGCGAGTAAACATACAAATTTATAAGAGCAATTTGTATGTTTATGAATGATCTAGTGTGTTTCTCTCTCTGCACAGGGCTGAAGGTGTGGACGATCAACTGTGATGCAAAACCCTCCCATCAGCAGACTCTTCCATAACGTGTCCCACTGCATCTACTGTCGCTGGGGCTTTCATGTTTACATCTGCTTCACCTGAACTCTGGCTTGTGCTGCACTTGTACTAATGGTGACTTGTCTGAAAGCTCCTGCTGAAGGAAGCTGGACAATGTCTGACAGCTCACAAGTGCACAGCACTCGCTCTCCATCCTGTTACGTCATCTGGTAAAAATGTGACTTTGTAAGCCCAATATTCTGACCTACAAACTGATTAAAGAACGATGCGGATCGTTTGTTGTCTCGTTTGAGTCTTTTGAACAGTTTCTCAGAGCATCAAGTTTCTGTTCATCTTCTGTTCGAGGTGTTTGTCGCCATCGTGTGGATTCAACGAGTAATTACAGTTGATATGCAGAAAAGTGGAGGAAGAAAAATCCAAGGTGTGTTGGAACCAGAGAATCAAACCTGTGAAGTGTGCTCTCAGAAAGCAGAAGCATGTATAAAAATCATGCAAGTAGAACAGACAGGGATTTTCTTTAGACCATGTGTAAAAAAAATCCATTATTTTTAAGTTGTCACAACCTTTCGACCTCCAACCGAGGCTGAAGGGTTCGGAGGCTGAAAGTGGAGTTGGTGAATTCCAGGCTCATGGAAATATTTTTCAGAAGCTGTGACAGAACATTTTGGATCATATTTTTCCTCATCAGAAAGCAGAACTTTACACTTCTGTAGTGGAGAGTGTGATGTAAACGTGCGACTTATCAAAACTACAGATCCAGTTTTTCCACTGTGGTTTACTGGGTGACAAGGAGGAGGAATTTCAAATTTTCAGAAATAAAGAAAAAAAATCTATTTTACACATCAGTGTAAAATATAAAATTACAGACATGTTAATTTGGCTAAAAGAAAACAGTGATTCAGAGCAATCAGCCCTTTGGTTACACTGGTATATATGTAAAGAATTTAACTTGATTTATCCAATAATATGGTTTTTATTTTACCCCTTTTGCCCCCAAGAGACACTATGATCACATTTATTTATTTGTTTCATTTGATTGTATTTTGTTGTATTGCATTTTATTTTATTTATTTATGATCTAAAATCAAAATTGAGAAAGATGACCAAACATAAGAAGTTATGATGTAATTAATTTTTATTTCTTTAAAACAAAATTTTAAAACCACCCCTTTTGCATATTGTTCGCTTAATGTAATAGTTTACTTTTAGTGCAAGAAACTGATGATTATTGGTTTAATGTATTGCAAATTTTACATAATTGTCTTTTTGGTGTTGGTCTTATCTCAGATTGATCATGTAGATTTGAAAAGTGTCTAATGAGCTTATACTTAAATCAAATAAAATAATTTCTAATAAATGGATATGTTATGCAGATGAAGTGTATTTTGCATGTTGCATGTTTCATTTAATTTCAATCAGCACCACTAATTCGTTTTCATTTAACCAGATAACTTTCTGCGTTTTGGACGTCACTTATTTCCAAAATGTATCTCAATTATCGTAACTGAGTTTCCACTGTTTTCTGAACCGTCAGCCACTTAAATCACATATCATTTATTTAGAATAGAAGAATGCACAAATGTATTTACATTCACATGATACAATTTTACAATTACACACATCTCCATTCTGTACAGGTTTAAAGTGACCATTTATATTTTACAGTGAGGAAACAGTTTGACCATCGTGGGATTTGCTCAATAAATGTGATGCTTCCCCCCCTCAGCTGCTGATCGTGATGAGAACATCTGCCCGGCCTCTAGTGTGAAGTTCACTACGATATCTGTTCATTTTTGTCCCACTTTAAAAGGAGAAAACAAAACAAACAAATCAAAAGAAAAAAAATGCAGTTTCTTAATTTGCACAGATAAATCTCAATGCCTACATTCTGACCGCGTGATGGCCAAATGTGAAGACACAACAAGAAAGGCAAAAGATAATAATAATAATAATAATAATAATAAAAACTTCCAAAGAAGATTCACAATTACATCAGCGCCTCTTTACATTTCCACCACAGCTCTAAGCCTAAAGTGCGTCGTCGTTCTCTGCCACAGCCGGACCCGGCGTCTGCCATCATAACACCATGGTGGGAATGTGGTGGACCAGAGGCATCTGATGCTGCATGGCGGCCATCTGCGGCGCAGGTGGAAGAGAGGGAGGAGGAGGGGAAACCTGCGGGGGCGCGTCGGAAGCGTGCGCCACAGGTTTGTGCCGCGCGCTCTTCTGGTGCGCCCTCAGGCCCGCCAGCTGGGAGTACGCGCTCTGACAGACGTGGCACTTGTACGGCCGCTCGCCGGTGTGCAGGCGGACGTGGTTCCGCAGCGTGGACGACTGGCTGAAGCGGCGGTTGCAGAAGCGGCACACGAAGGGCTTGTCCAGGGTGTGGATGCGCATGTGGGAGCGCAGGTTGCTGCGGGAGTTGAAGCCGCGGTGGCAGATGACGCAGCGCATCCGGCCGGTGGAGGTGGCTGTGACGGAAGGGGGAGAACACGAAGAGGGCCCCTCGGTGGAGTGGGAGTCGTCTGGGAGGGGGAAACAGAGGAGGCGATGGGGTGAGACTTTGAAGTTGCTCTCGCCAAAAGAGAGCAACTTCAGGAAGGAAGAAACTCACCACTCCTGCTTTTCTTCTGGTGTTCTTCATCCATCCCTGGAACCCCAGGAATTCCAAGGAACGTGTTGTGAGTGTTTCCATACCAGACAAGGAGCTCCTGGTCAGGCGGAATGGTCTGAGGGAGAGAGAAATGTAAAAATACCAGCGTTTATCATTCCTGTCTGATTTCAGAAATAAGCGTTCAAGATTAGTTGAGGTGTAAGCGAACTCTGACTGTGTATGGTGAGTGTCAGATAAAATTGAAGATAAATCTGTAAGTATATGATTTTTTTTAAATTATAACTTTTTCCCAAGCAGAGCCAATTTAGTTCAGCTCAGGTTTATTGCAAAACCACTGTGGTAGTTTTGGACTCGGTGGAGGCCCTGACTGAGCTCGGCTCTCTCGCAAACCTTCTCAGCTGGGCGTGAGGCTCACCTCCACTGCTTTATAGAAGATGCTGCTGCCGATCTGCACCACCTCCAGGTTCTGCTCCTGCTCGTTCCGAGCGCACTTGATGTAGGTCATCCAGCTGCGGTGGTCCTCCTGGCTGGCATCGATGAAGTACCGCACCGTGCCGTCCTCGTTGAACACCTGAGGAACGACGTGGATGTGTTACAGACGAGAAAAAAAAAAGTTTTTCCTGCATTAGGAATGTGTTTAAAGCAGAAGCATTGCAGGACCCATTTTACTTTGGCCCAAGCCCTGGAAAATATTTTTGGTGGCCCTGTAAAATTTCCAAAACAAATTTAATAAGGAAAAAAAACAAATTAAAAATCCAACTGGAATTTATTTAGCTGAATTTGCGTGTCTTTTAATGTGTCGGGTTTATTTATTAATTTATTTTTTGCTTGTCTGATTGTGAATTGAATCTTTGGAACGTTTTCAAATGACATTTGAGGTGAAAATACGAGCAATCTGAGTTGAGCTGCTGTGACCCAGCTGGTCTGTTCAATAAACTGGATTATCGAAAATGCACAAACCAAGTCTGTGATTTGTGGTATTTTGGGGACGTTGCGCCCCAGCAGAGAGTGCGCTCACCTCCCACATCAGGTTGTTGTTCTTGAACAAGTCCACATGCTCGGGGGACAGGAGCCTCCCGGTGAAGGGGCCCATCTCTGTTCCGGCTTTGATCCAGGTCTTGGAGAAGATCCCCAGGCCTTCACCCGGGATGGAGCTCTGGGCGATGATCACCTCGCTGGGCAGCACCAGGCTGGAGAGCTTCTGCACCTCTGCCAATGCAAAAATAGTAATACATAAAAGGCCTGAACAAATGAGTGCAAAACGTCTGAAAAAAAAAAAAGCTCTGAATGAACGCTTTCAGTGGTGAAAGCAGCAAATGAACTGGATCTTATTTTAGTCACGAAATATTGAGCCACGCCTCACCCTGCGTTTAATTCGATTATCTGGATGAATTGAATCTTTTTTTGTTGTTGTTGTTGTTGTGCAAAAAACACCACCACCTCCTCCCCCTTAAAGCTTTTCTTCCTTTCTTTCTTTCCTCGAAGGAGAAGAAAGAAAAAAGTGATTCTTTAAAGTTAAATTCAAAGATTTTTTTGTTTGTTTTGTTTTTTAAGTCCCACATTGCAGAAAAGTGAGCACCGGGGTTAAACGATCCTCTATTGCTTAGACTCCAGCAATTTGTCATGCTTCAGATGTGATTTTCATTACACTTTACTCCTGGAAAAGAAAAAAAAGGAAAAAAAGGGGGAACGACTAATTCCAAATTCATTATCCTTTTTAGAACTTTGCGCCAATAAATTTGCGCTGAATGAGACGGGGGCCTGTTTAAAAGGGACGGAGGAATTTCTGCGACAAAAAAAAAAAAAAATGGAAAGGCGATTAGATGGTTGACATGCAATGAATAGCATTAGATTTAGCCTTCACGGCGCATTATGCGAGGAACAGCAAATCTCTTAAAAGGAAGAGAAAGAAAGAAAAAGAGCCTCCAGAGTCTCTCATAGCTGCCAAGGGAGGAAAAGAGACTGTCCGGAGATTGATGAATGCGTGGATGAAAAAAGAGAAAAAGAAAAAAAAAATGTCAAAGAAAGGAAACCTTTCTGTCCGAGAGGTTTTAAGTGGGAAACTTTCCCAGGTCAAGCGCAAAGTTAACCAAATGAATTTAATGCTCTTTCAATCAGCCTCGGTTGGAGCAACGAGGCTCCGGGCGGCGGAGGGCCGAGCGCGAGGTTAACGCGTTTAATGGCTCCTAAAAAAAGAGAGAGAGGGAAAAGTGCGAGCACGGAGGAAATGTTGGACCGGGTCAGAGAAAGTTCTGCTGGATTTCGAACCCGTGCGGGGACAAATCAACGCGTTTTCACATGATTTCTGGTCTCATGCTGTTGGCTTTTGACGCGCTTTTACGCACGCCTTATTTCTTTAAAATGTATATATATGTATAAAATATTTTTTTAAAAATGAACGGCATAATTCAATTGGTTTAAAAAGTGTAGTTAAAAAAAAAATCAATGATAGTTGTCAAAGCGACCCAGCGGGCCGGCCTCACCTCCAGCGAAGGACTGGGCCAGAACCTCCGCGGTGAAGGCGGTCTTGGGGCCGCCGCCGCTCTGCCGCTCCTCCGCCAGGTGTTCTCCCAGCACGTTCCTCCACCTGCCGTACAGGAAGCTGTGCAGGATGTCCGAGGTGATCACGTCCGACAGCGAGCGGCCG